AATGGCACATCATCAAGAACACACAAAAAAATTCAATAAATATTTGCTAAAGAAATAATAAAGAATATTAATCAATCATTGTCAACCTGTCAAGTCTTAACCAAGTTCCGCTGAGCTATTAGCATTCTAAATACAAAGAAGACATGCTGATCACATTTGCAGCTAGACTTGGATTTCTGCTTGACCATCTAGAACTCTGACTCTTAGGCATCTCAGTTCAGTTCAGTTCAGTCGCTCAGTTGTGTCTGACTCGTTGCAACCCCATGAACCACAGCATGCCAGGCCTCCCTGTCCATCAACAACTCCTGGAGTCCACCAAAACCCATGTTCACTGAATCAGTGATGCCATCCAACCATCTCATCCTCTGTCATCCCCTTCTCCTCCTGCCCTCAATCTTTCCCAGCATCAGGGTCTTTTCAAATGAGTCAGTTCCCAATTTGGAACCAGCCTGTTGTTCCATGTTCAGTTCTAACTGTTGCTTCCTGACCTGCATACAGGTTTCTCAAAAGGCAGGTCAGGTGGTCTTGTATTCCCATCTCTTTAAGAATTTTCCACAGTTTATTGTGATCCACACAGTCAAAGGCTTTGGCTCGCACTACTCAGCTATTCAACCATTTCGGTTGAATTCACCGAACACTTCCTTCTCCCTCATTCCTCCCACAACCAACAAGGTGGTTTTTTCACCATCTTAAAAATTGACATATAAGTGACAACAGAATTATATTCAATTCAGACTTATGACATAATGATGATGCAGTGGTTTGTATACATTATGAAAAGATCTCTACAATAAGTCTAGTTAATTTCTCCAAAGAAGACATACAGATGGCTAACAAACACATGAAAAGATGCTCAACATCACTCATTATCAGAGAAATGCAAATCAAAACCACAATGAGNGAAGACATACAGATGGCTAACAAACACATGAAAAGATGCTCAACATCACTCATTATCAGAGAAATGCAAATCAAAACCACAATGAGGTACCATCTCACGCTGGTCCAAATGGCTGCTATCAAAAAGTCTACAAACAATAAATTCTGGAGAAGGTGTAGAGAAAAGGGAACCCTCTTACACTGTTGGTGAGAATGCAAACTAGCACAACCACTATAGAGAACAGTGTAGAGATTCCTTAAAAATCTGGGGAAGAAACTGCCACACGACCCAGCAATCCCACCGCTGGGCATACACACCAAGGAAACCAGAACTGAAAGAGACACGTGTACTCCAATGTTCATCACAGCACTGTTTACAATAGCTAGGACATGGGAGCAATCTAGATGTCCATCAGCAGATGAAGGGATAAGAAAGCTGTGGTATATACACACAGCAGAATATTACTCAGCTATTAAAAAGAATGCATCTGAGTCAGTTTCAGTGAGGTAGATAAAACTGGAGCCTATTATATAGAGTGAAGTAAATCAGAAAGAAAGACACCAGTATATTAATGCATACATATTTTTAAATTTTAAAAGATGGTAATGACGAACCTATATGCAAGACAGGAAAAGAGACACAGATGTAAAGAACAGACTTTTGGACTCTGTGGGAGAAGGTGAGGGTGGGATGATTTGAGATAATAGCATTGAAACATGTATATTACCATATGTGAAATAGATGACCAGTGCAAGTTCGATGCATGATACAGGGTGCTCAGGGCTGGTGCATTGGGACAACCCAGAGGGATGGGATGGGGAGGGAGGTGGAAAGAGGGGTTCGGGATGGGGGGACACATGTACATCCATGGCTGATTCATGTCAATGTATGGCAATAACCACCACAATATTGTAAAGTAATTAGCCTCCAATTAAAATTAATTAAAAAATACAAGTCTAGTTAACATCCATCATTATGCAGTTATAAAATTTTTTCCTGTTGTGTGATCTTTTACATTTGAGCAACTTTCATACATACAGTATAGTATCACTAACTACAGTGATCATGATGTACTACATTATAGGCCCATGATTTCTTTTTAACTGTAAATTTCTACATTTTGATGCCCCTTCACTCATTTTCCCCACTCCCCACACCTTGTCTCTAGCAACAACCTATTTGTTCTCTGTATTTATTAGTTTTTTTTTAGGTTCCACATATAAGTGAGATCATATACTATTTGCCTTTCTGTGTCTGATTCCTTTCACTTAGTGTAATGGCCTCAAGTCTATCCATGTTGACAAAAACAGCAAGGCTACCCTTTTTTCATGGCTGAATTATATTTTTATTCATTCATCCATTAGTGGGTGCTTAAGCTTCATCCACGTCTCAGCTTTTATAAATAATGCTGCAACAAACATGAGAGTGCACTACACGTATCTTTTTGGGTTAGTGTTCTTATTTTCTTCTGATAAATATATAGAAGCAGAACTGCTGGACCATGTGGCAGTTCTATTTTCAATTCTCTGAGGAATCTCCACATTGTTTTCGACTGTGACTACACCAATTTCCACTCCCACAAATAGTGTACAGGGGTTCTCTTTTCTCCACACCTTCATCAACATTTGTCATTTCTTGTCTTTTTGGTAACAGTCATCCTACAAGGTGATAGATACATCACTGTGGTTTTCATTCGCCATTTCCCTGATTATTAGATGCTGAGCACCTTTTCATGTATCTGCTGGTCACCTCTATGCCTTCTTCAGAAACTGTCCATTCAGATCTTCAGTTCACTTTTCAATTACATTGTTTGTTTTCTGCTATTGAGTTACATGAATTCTTCATGTATATTTGATATTAACCCCTTATCTGATATATGATTTACAAATATTTTCTCCCATTTGGTATGCTGCCTTTTCATTTTGTTGATGGTTTCCTCTGCTGTGTGGAAGCATTTTAGTTTGACATAGTCTCATTTGTTAATTTTCACTCTTGTCATCTTTGCTATCGGTCTCATATTAAAAAAAAATCACTGCAAAGACAATGTCAAGGAGTATACTGGTTTTATTCTAGGAGTTTTATGGTTTTAGGTCTTATATTTATAAGTTCTTTAATCCATTTTGAGTTAGTTTTCGTGTACAGTATTAGAAAGCAATCTAGTTTCATTCTTTTGCATGTGGCTGTCCAGTTTTCCAGCATCATTTATTGAAGACACTGTCCTATCCCACTGTATAGTTCTTGGCTCCTTTGCTGTAAGTTAATTGACCACACATGTGTGAATTTATTTCTGGACTCTCTACCAAAGTGACTTTTTGGAACATAAAGCAGATCCCTACAATGGTTTCCTTCTGCATAGCATATAATCTAAACTTCTAACTCAAAGACCTCTAAGGCCCTAAATACTCTGGGCTCCTATTCTACCTCTCTCCAATTTCATCTCTCAACTAATTTACATACTACTTTACTATCATTCCAGCCAGACTGGTCTTATTTTACATCCTTCAATTCACTGAGCTCCTAAGTCACTCTGTAAAACGCATTTGCTGATTCTACTGAAAGGAATACTCATCTCCTATACTATGCCTTTAATTTCTTCAGATCACAAGTTGAATGTTACTTCCTCACAGAGACCTTCCTTAATACTCCTACATCCAAACTGATAAGAAATAGGCTCCTTCCTGTGGAATCTCTTAAGGATTCTGTATGTTTCTTTCGCAGTTGTTACTGTTGTTGTTGTTCAGTCTCTCAGTTGTGTGTGATCCTTAGCAACCCCATGGCCAAGGACCCCATATAGCACGCCAGGCCTTCCTGTCCTTCACCATCTCCTACAGCTTGTCCAAGTTCATGTCCATTGCATCAGTGATGCCATATAACCATCTCATTCTCTGCTGCTCTTTTCTCCTTTTGCCTTCAATCATTCCCAGCATCAGGGACTTTTCCAATGAGTCGGCTGTTCTCATCAGATGACCCAAATACTGGAGCTTCAGCATCAGTCCTTCCAATGAGTATACAGGGTTGATTTCCCTTTGGGATTATTTATTTTTTCAATCTTTACCTCTGTAAGAATGTCTAACTGCAGGCAACAAGAAAGGTAGAGACAAATCTCCAAGCACCTAATGCTTTGTAGATACTTAGTTATCTGCACAACTAAATAATATTTTAAGAAAATGTTGCAAATTTTTTTGTCAGACTGAAAAAAAAAATCCAGATAACAGCTAAGAAATCTAAACAAAGCACAATCTAAGAACACAAAATCTCAAGTACAAACTCCCAAGTAGCTGTATGCCTATTAAAAAATAACTCTTTGTCTATTATAAATCAATTCTATTGGTAGAAAAATCTGCTGTTTGCCCATTAAAAAACAACTCTTAAAAAAAAAAAAAACACAACTCTTTGTCTATTATAAGTCAATTCTATTGGTAGAAGAATCTTTCCCAAAGTATTCTGCTTTGAGTTGTTTACTGAAATGTTAGTGAAAATTGTCAATTTAGGGGAGGAGAGAAAGACAGTTCCAGGCTTCCATTTCCAGATTACAGATCCAGGGGATGGAGAGTCCTTATGCCTGAAAGGGTCACAGAAGTAGCAGTAGCAAAATGACAACAATCACTTGCATTTACTTGGATAATTAAGTGAATGGCTATGTACTCCTGCTAAACTAGTTATAAAATATTTTAAAATATGATATGCAAAGTCAACTAATAGACATTCTTGCTACTGCTTCATAGAATGGGAAAATATGATGGACTAGGGCTTAAGATTTAACTTGCTTTGTACCTTCAGACAAATAATGTCACCTCTCTGGTCACACTTTTCACAACTATGTAAGATGGGAGATTTGTACCAGGTCCTGTTTAAGAATCCCTGTAGCTCTAGTCATATCTCACAATACAAGTATATAAGTAACTGTCAAACTAAAATTTTCTCTGGTGCTAGACCAATGCAAATAAGGCAAATATTTTTTCCTTTAAAAATTCTCAAAATCAGTGCTCTAAATTTTAATAACATGCTAAAGATGTTTTATATTGACAAATAAAAAGTACCATAATTGAAGTCTGACTCACTCTTTCTTGAATTAGAATATTTGACATTAAACTTGAACCAAACCAATAACAATGCTCACCGATACTGATATGTCCTCATTTTTTCTCTTAACACTGGAGTCAAACAAGACATTTCTCCCTCGTCTTTCACAGTCTTGATATACAATCAGTCGAATCTGGCTTGGATCAAACTCTGGCAAAGGCCAACTTTAAAGAAAAATAAAGATTCATTAGAATTGCTTTAATAAATATTCCACATAAACACCTGGAAATAAAAACCTATATGATGAAACCCAAAGTTGTACTGCTGCTCAAGATAATACAGAAGATCTTTATATAAAATACTACCATTTCAAAAAAAAAAAAAACTACCATTTCGTCTACGGCTGAAAATTTACACCGTTATGGCACTTTAGGTTAAAAGGAAAGAATAGTTGTGGCAAGTATCATTCAGTGTATATAAAATATAGTCATCCCACATGAATCTAAATATAGCTAATAAAAATATGTAAAAACATTTACTATAACGAAAATATATACTTATTTCACAGCATGGACTCAGATGGCATAAGATTAACAATCCTTATTTTTAAATACTTTTGTTACTGTTTCTTTAATATGAAAGTGAAAAAAACAGATCCAGTTTTCAGTTTAAATAACAAAAGCTAATTACTTATAAAACAAAAACAATTTTTAAAAGGTGGTGAACATCCAAATGGGATAGAAATTCCTCATATATAGTTGATATGAGTGAAAATGGCATAATCTTTTTGGAGAATAGGTTTTAAAATATATACACTAATTAGAAAACATCTAGTAAAAATGAAGTTGACCCAGCAATCCTATTCCAGAAAAGTATGCCATTATACAAGAATGTTCAGAGCAGCACTGTTCATATTAGTTGAAAACTGCAAACTATTCATATACTTACCAAAAGAATGGGTAAATATTCATACTATGAAGCACTACATAATAAACATAATGAAAGAACCTCAGTTGCAGGCAAAAACATAGATAGACCATGAGCAAAAGAAAACAATACCACACATACACACAGTAGTGTATTTTGCCATTTACAGAACGATTCAAATCAGGTATTTTATCAAGTGATGCACATTTAGTTTTTATTAAAATTATCAGGAAGACAAAAGAAATGATGGCTTCAAAAGCTTGGAGAGTGGTTACAGCTCAGAGCTAGGTGAGGGTGGTGAGATTTCACCAGGAAGGGACATACCATGAGGACTGGGGCACTGATGATGTTCTATTTTTGACCGGATAATGTTTACACAGATACAGTACCAAAAAGAAAAAAGAAAAATGCTACTGCATTTGTCCTGTGTACTTTTATATAGGCATTGTATTTCACAACTTAAAAAACTAATGGAATGAGTGAGATGAGGAGGAGAGGAAAAGAGAGAAAACAATGAATTGTATGACAGAGATACTAATCTCGTAAACTGCATGCACTACAACTTACAGGACAGCTGCCAAGAAAGAAGAGAACTGTCATTCCAGGAACTGCCTATTGTTAGTCAGGCTAAGAGGTCAATTCCTCACAATCCATCAGTCACAGCTTTTGATTGCTTTCCTTCACTTTCTTAAGAGATCCTTAACCCTAATCCTAGTACTCCCTGGTGGCTCAGTGGTAAAGAATCTGCCCACCAATGCAGGTTCAATCCCTGAGTCAGGAAGATCCCCTAGAGAAGGAAAAGGCAACCCACTCCAGTATTCTTGCCTGAGAAATTCCCCATGGACAGGTGAGCCTGGTGGGCTTACAGTCCATGGGGTTGCACACAGTCGGACACAACTTAGCAACTGAACAACAGCAACAGCAACTCTAACCCTATCAATGAATGTTAAAAAAAAAAATCCATAACTGGCAACATAAAACATCTTCACCCCAATCTTGACAGAAAATATAATTTTAGTTTTCTTCTATTTAATCCTTAGCAAATGTCTATGAATTGATGAAAAACTTACTCTGGACAATCGAACTAAACCAGGGATTCATCCTTAGATCACAATGATTTGCATCCCACTAACAGCTTTTATTAAACTGTGCTTTGATGTTACACAAAGGAAACCACAGAAGGACAGATACAGAAAATCAGGAGGTCAGTCTCAGGAAAACTAAGAAAGAGAAGCACTTTAGAGAGGAAGAAGAAATATCATGGCTGTTACTAAAAAGTATCCACTAGTTTTAGAAACAAAGAAGTCACTGGTGACCATGATAAAGAGACTTCTAAGTACAGGGGTCAGATTGCAGAGATTTGAGGACCTAATAAGGATCGAGAAAATAGAGATTTTAAGACAAATGTCAAAGAAAGTGAGAAAGAAAAGGAATCATGAAATAGAAGACAGCTATTTTGTTATTAAAAAGGATACATGACCATGTTTACATACTGATGACAAAAGTGTGAAGTGGATGGGAGAGGAAGACTGACAAAGTAAGGCGTCTAAGGAAGTGGGTGAGGATAGAATATAGAGTACAAATCAAAGAATTAAGAAAGGATAACCGCTGCATTAGGACAAAAAGAAACGATGGACACAGATAAAGGGAGATTCATAGATATGGGGGAATTCTTATCTAGAAGCCCTATATACTTTCTAAAGCAGGTGAAGGAAAAAAGGACAGGTTGTAAAATGTGGGGACAGCAGACAGCAAAGAGAGCAGTCTTTGTAGCAAAAGAAAATATGCTGACTAGGAAACATAAGATTTCTTGGAAATTATGAAAGTCTACCTGAGACTGAAGGCTATGAAAATATACCAGTCACAAACTACACATTTGGGTCATTTTCTCCAGCAATCATTCGTATTCATGTGCTTGGATTTGGATCAGATTGAGACAACTTGCAATCCACCTTGCAATGCAGGGGACTAGGGTTCAGTCCCTGGTCAGGGAAATAAGACCCCACACACTGTGGAGCAACTAAGCCCTTATAGCACAGCTACTGAGCTGGCGCACTCCTGCCCTCCACAGCTAGAGAGCTGACATGCTGGAACTGTACATTTTAAATGGATGAATTTTATAGTATGTGAAATTTACTTCAATAATAATAATAATAAGTTAGAATGCTCTGCTCCTTTTCTTATTTAAGTATTTGTAAAGTATTCTTCCAATGAGTACATGGATTAAACTAGCATATTACACAACCTGAAAAAATAAAACATAGAAACTTCTTTTGAAAAGTTTAAAGGTGTGCCCATCAACTGATGAATGAATAAACAAAATGTTATACCTATCCAACGGAATATTACTTGGCTATAAAAAGCTGCAATATGGCTGACCCTTATAAACATTAAGCCAAGTGAAAGCCAGACACAAAAGGCCATATATCATAAAATTCCATTTATCCCCTCTGACTTGTCCAGAATAGTCAAATCCACTGTGACAGAAAGTAAATTAGTGGTTGCCCAGGAGGGCTGGCAGGGGAGAAGGGAGATAACTGCAATGTATAAGGAGTTCTTTTTTTTTTTAACTGAGGTATAGTTGATTTACAATATTATACAAGTTCAAGTGTACAACATACTGATTCACACTTTGTAAAGGTTATTCTCCATTTAGTTTTTATAAAACATTCCTTGTGCTGTACAATATTCCCTTGTAGCTTACTTATTTTATATGTAGTAGTTTGTACCTCTTAATTCCCTACTCCTAATCTTGCCCCTCTCCTTTCCCCACTGGTAATCACTAGATTGTTCTCTATATCTGTGAGTTTATTTTTGTTATATTCAGTAGTATGTTTTATTTTTTACATTCCACATGTAAGTGATATCATATAATATTTGTCTTTCTCTGACTTCATAAGCATGTGGATTGATGAAATGTTCTGGAATATGATAGCAGTGATAGCTGGATAACTGTGTCACTATACTAAAAAACCCATTAGATTGTACACAGTAAAAAGGTAAATTTTACAGTGCATGAAATTTATCTCAACAATAATAAAAAGAGTAAGAATGCTTTCTCATGAACTTACCCAAGCATTTGTAACTCAAAGTGTTCTCTATTAACTCAAAATAAGACTACACAAAAGCTTAAATGCTAAAGCTTCTAGAAACATACAGTATCTATACAATCAAGGGGTGCCAAGAATTCTTATACAAGACACAAAAGTTACTATGCGTAAAAAATTTGATAAATTGGACTTCATTAAAATTTAAAACCTTAACAATAAAAGGCAAAGTTTTTTTAAAAAGGCCAGTCATAAACTGGAAGAAAATATTTACAATATATATAAATGACAAAGGACTTGTAAATAGCCTATACAAAGAACTCCTATAAAGCAGTTAAGATGAACCATTTGTCCAATTTTAAAATGGATGAGAGGCCTGGGCATTTCAGATGAGGAATTTATGAATGATGAAGGAACAAAGCACGTGGAAAAGATGCTAACAATATTAATTATCAGATAAATGCACATTAAAGTACTTCCACAAAAGACTAGTAACATTTGTTGTTGGTAAAAATATGAGGCACGTGGAATCTTTCACATTGCTGGCAGGAGTGTAAAAAGGTACAACCATTTTAGAAAAATTTTTGGCAGCTATGACCAAGCAATTCTTTTCAAAGATATTTTTACCCAGTAGAAATGAGAACATATGTTCAAAGACAAGTTATGCAGCTATATTCCTAATGGCAAGAAAACTGGGAACACCCCAATGACCATCAAAGGGAAAATGGATAAACAAGCTGTGGTACATTCTTACACTGAAATACCACACAGAAATAACAAGGAATGAGCTACTTACTAGTCATGACACAGATGAACTCTGAAACAATGCTGAGTGAAAAACATCCAGACACAGAAGCATACATATTGGTAATTCCATTTATATGTAGTTACAGACCAGGTAAAACTAATCTGTGGTGATAGAAACCAAAGCAGTGCTTGACCAGGGGCAGGATGGAAGGGAATGGACCAGAAAGCTTTTTGGAGTGACTGAAATGTTCTATATATTTACTGGGGTTGTAGTTACACAGATGCATACATTTTTCAAAATTAATCAAATTATACACTTAAAATGTGTGCTTTTTACATAAATTGTACTTCAATCTTTAAAAAGGAGGATTGTGGGGAAAAACCACTATACATACAGTATATATGCTGAAGTTGAAGCTCCAATACTTTGGTCACCTGATGTTAACAGCTGACTCACTGGAAAAGACCCTGATGCTGGTAAAGACTGAAGGCAGAAGGAGAAG